AACATACAAAAATTGGAACCATTTCCCCTGAAAACTGGAACAAGACAAGGATGCCCACTCTCACCCATCCTGTTCAACATAGTATTGGAAGTCCTAGCTCGAGCAATCAGAGAGAAGAAGGCAATCAGGTGTATCCAAATAGGAAAAGAGGAAGTCAAATTATCTCTCTTTGCTTATGATTTGATTCTGTACCTTGAAAACCCAAGAGAATCTGTCAAAAGACTCCTTACACTGATAAAGGCCTTTGGCAAAGTCTCAGGATACAAAATAAATGTGCAAAAGAAAATGGCATTTCTTTACACCAATAATAAACAAACAGAAACCCAAATAAAAAACACAATTCCATTCACAATAGCCACAAAAAAAACGAAATACCTTGGCATCTTCCTAACCAGAGACATGAAAGACCTTTACAATGAAAACTACAAAACACTGCTCAAAGAAATCAAAGATGACACAAACAAGTGGAAAAATATCCCATGCTCATGGATTGGAAGAATCAACATTGTGAAGATGTCCATCTTACCTAAGGCAATCTACAAATTCAATGCAATACCCATCAAATTACCAGCAACATTCTTCTCAGACCTAGAAAAGAATAATTTCTTTAAGCAATTCCTTTGGAGAAATTCTCCCTTCAGTCCATAGGTTGACTGTCATTGTTTAAACAACTCTAAAGAAAGTGTTCTAGATATTCAGATGGGTGTTTTTCAATATGATCCTTAATGCACAGATAACTTTTAAGTTATTGATCAAGTTAGAATTCTGTGTTATTTTATTCTAATTTCCATTTATCAAGTGGGCAATGTAGATTATGAAATGGAAGTGATTTTTTTCTTTTAAATTAAATTTCCTTAAGATGAAGATTTCTGACTACTTTTCCTGGATCAAAACATAAATATACAAAAATAGCTGTCCATTAGTGGCATATTGGTAAGTAAAAACTGATTGCTTTGGTCTAGAACTACTAAATTTTGTTTATTCATTGAGAGAACCAAAATTATATCCTTATGGAAATCAGCTAAAAGAGATATGAAGTCACTTTTATGAATTACTAAAGCATTAGGAAGTTGAAATGTACGTTGTGTCATGCAAATATTAAACCATTTTTTAAAAGTTTGTCTCAAAGTGAGGTTAACGTGTAAATGTTTTACTTTATTGACCATTGTGCAATCATATTTTTTCTAT